GAAGGTGGTCATGAAAAGTTGCCACTGGCCCACATTTACGTTCTGAAGGCACCCCGGCATAGTACTAGCATGGTTGACTTTATCAGTATTCCAGAAGAGACTTCTACTGACCTACCATTTACCACATTGCCACCCGACATCCTCTCTTTTCAATTCAACATCTGTAGGACAATCGATGTCGTTACCACAGCTATGCTCCCGGTGGATGAGTAGTCGGTGGGATATAACAGCGCCCGAATATATCTGATGCATCCCAGGCACAGTGGCTACTAGAAGCCCAGTCCGCCAAGACAGTGCAGCCTTATAACTCGCTATAAAGTGCATGCAACAATCCCGCTTCCCTAATAAGCATACATCCATTTAATGCTCGAACGGGCGATATATGAGGGCTGGCTTGCTTCACTCCTTAGTGGCAGACGATCGAGAATAACCACTCTGTCTCGCTAGAGAAGTATCGTAATCGAGATCGTAGTCATCGTCATCGCCCGGAGAAGTCTACGCATCGATAACGATATTGTGCTCTTGTATGGTAGCTGTCTCTCTCGTACGCATCGTGGGCTCTCTGGTTCCTGTAGTTGACACCTCCGCATTAGGCTCATGTACATTGTTTGATGGTGACGAGAGCGGGCTTACATGTCCGTGTATGGATGCATACTCGTAAGCTGTTGTTCAAGTGTGCAAGATGGATAAGAGCCTAGCCGGCCAGAGTGTTGCATGATTGTTGGCATTACAAAAGATGCCTTTTCCACGTATAGCCGACATATATCTAAATTAGCGAAAGCGCCATGCTTGCCGAATGATCCATTGAAGAAAGAAGGACCAAGTGAATGTAAGGTGAATTGGGCGGAAGTATTTTGCAGGGGAGAGGGCGGTAGAAATGAGAGAGGACAGAAGTCAAGAAAGAGAGAAAGAGGGAAATCTAGAAGGTGCAAGGGTAATGCACAGTACACACCATCATGAAAAAGCAAACTCTCCCTTTCCTGAGCCATGGCAATTGAAACATCACCTTTCTGACACATGCGAAGAACACAGCTACATCATGTTAATGTACTGTTCTAGAAGATAATTTTGACATATCATCCACCTCCTCGGCTCTTCGAGAAGTACGACGCTGGCAGCTTGTTACCATTTTGTAAGATTACTTAAATAAACGACCACGAGGTGATCTCAATAGATGGTAAGATAGATTCACAGACCTCTCGTAACGTCATGGCGCGATTGCTCAATTTGATGTGAACCCAGGCGCACTCCCACCCACACGATCAATCTGGCCGTCCGATAGCACATCTTCGTGCTCGCGTATTACGTGCAAAGACGACTTGTGCGGACCAAAGCGTCGCTGCTAGTGATTATGCAAGCGATTCTGCTTGGCTGTGGCGAAGGCAGTCTGACATTCAGTCTCACGAGAAACATAATACTGCGGGTCTACATGGAGCTTTTCGCCTCCCGAAGCACATTCGAGCAGACAATGAGGCGTCAGTCAGATATTCGGAGGACCGGAATCTTTCTGAACTGCGATAACAAATTCACCGGCAAGCCGGATCCAATCCCAATCCTTAACATTGTCAAACTCGGCTCGCCATTAGACAAACTCTTCACCACATCAAACGTGGCTTACCCTAAGCCACTGGGCGTGAGAGGAAACTCAATTAAATTCGCACATAATCAATGCCAGCCTGTGACTACCTTGCAATAATGCCAAGCTTTCAGCCACCTTCGCCTTCCAGGGCCTTTCCCTCGCAGCTCACCGGTAATCCCAGAACCGGATAAATTGATTATGAATCTCCTACGTTCGAGAGAAGACTCGGCTCGTATATAAGGGCCCTAGTCAGATTTGATCCAATGAAAGAGCAATGATAAGCCTCCAACTCTGGCGAGTACACCGACTTCTGCGTCACTCGGCTGGGATCAACGAGGTAGTCTCTTCTTACCCCTCTCCGGGGTCAGGGTGTGGACCGGATGTCCTGATGATTGAGTGTCATCATGGATGCACACTGGTCGGCAGACGGCGGGTGCATGCCTGGTTTATGGCATGATATTACCGTGGAGGTGCAGCTGGAGAAGCTGAACGAGTCGAAGAAATTGTGGTGGTGGCACTCTAGCGCGTTCAAGCGAGACTCATCAGTGGACGGAAAATCCCGCTATCACCTCCGCACAATTTCTCCGGATGTACCCACCATCCCCCGGAATTGCTCGATCAAGTAGATGGTGCGGGGAGGAGTTGGGGTCGCTTCTGCCCGCTTGCAACTTTCGTCCGCTACGCCGATGCTCTTTCTTCTCCGTCTGCCCTCAACTCGCCGCCCCCGACACACTATACCTGCTTGGCTCGGCTGCATGACGCTTATTTAGCTATGCGGATCCCATGTCTTAGTCAGTCTGGGCAACATGGCCCTATATAGCCAGACGACCTCTGGTTGAGATTTCCTGGACTTCTCTTGACTTGAGAGTTCTGAGAGGGAAGGGCCTGTGTCTTGTGTTGCCAGGATTCACCCATCGACTCACAACCCACAAACAGAAAGTCACTCTCAAAATGGGTCTCTTCAAGAACTATCGTATCTATGTCCTCACAGCGGTAGCCTATTCAGGCTCGCTTCTGTTCGGTACGTACTCTCCTGTCTCTATTCAACCTTGCCTTGACTGACCGTTGTGTGTGCCAGGCTTTGACACCGGTGTGATGGGTAGTGTCCTTGCCCTTGACAGCTTCAAGAACGACTTCGGCCTTCCCACCGATTCAACCGGTTTCGCGTCCGCCAAGAACTCACAAGTGTCCTCCAATGTTGTATCGCTGCTGACTGCGGGCTGCTTCTTTGGTGCTATTGCTGCTGCTCCCCTCAATGAGCGTCTGGGGCGTCGCTATTCGCTCATGATTTTTACCTTTATCTTCCTTATTGGAGCAGCCGTTCAGGTTGCCTCTAAGCATGCAATTGGCCAGATCTATGGCGGTCGTGTCATTGCTGGCTTGGGCATTGGAGGAATGTCCAGTATCACACCTGTTTTTGTCAGCGAGAACTGTCCTGCAAGAATTCGTGGTCGGATCTCAGGACTGTTCCAAGAATTCCTGGTCATTGGAAGCACATTCGCTTACTGGCTCGACTATGGCGTTTCTTTGCACATCAAGCCCAGTACCAAGCAATGGCGTGTTCCCGTGGCGGTTCAGCTAATCCCAGGTGGCCTCATGTTGATTGGACTCTTCTTCCTCAAGGAGTCACCGCGCTGGTTAAGCAGCAAGGGCCGTTTTGAGGAAGCGCTAGACTCTCTGGCTTACATTCGCAATGAAGCACCTGACAGTGACGCGGTACAGCAAGAGATGGCTGAGATTAGAGCAGCTGTCGAGGAGGAGGCATCCGCCACCGAAGGACTGAGTTACAAGGAGTTCTTGGTGCCCAGCAACCTCAAGCGCTTTGCTTTTGCCTTCTGCCTCATGTTCTGGCAGCAATGGAGTGGAACCAACTCCATTGGGTACTACAGTTCGCAGATCTTCCAAACTATCGGACTCAGTGCTACGAGTTCCTCTCTTTTTGCTACTGGTATCTATGGGACAGTGAAAGTTGTCGCGACTGCAATCTTCCTATACGTCGGTATCGATAGATGGGGTCGCAAGCCCAGTTTGATTGGTGGTGCTTTCTGGATGGCCAGTATGATGATCATCCTTGGGGCTCTCTTGGTCTCATATCCTCCCGACACGAACGCCAGTGGTGTCTCTAAGCCCTCCATTGCTATGGTCGTTATGATCTACCTTTATGTCATCGGCTACTCCTTTTCGTTGGGTCCGACCTGTTGGGTTGTTGTCAGTGAGGTAAGTTCTCCCCAAGTTTCTGCTGCATCTCAAACAGAGTGGCATAATTAACATGTGAGACTAGATCTTTCCTACACGACTACGTGCATACGGCGTCGGATTGGCAGCGACCTCACAGTGGCTCTGGAGCTTTGTGGTGACGGAGATCACTCCCAAAGCTGTTCACAGCCTTGGCTGGAGGACTTTCCTCATGTTTGGCATTTTCTGTATTGGCGCGGGTATCTTCGTCATCATCTTCGCCAAGGAGACCAAGGGCCGCAGCCTGGAGGACATGGACATCCTCTTCGGCGCGGTCAACGAGAACGAACGACGCGAGGCGGTGGAGCACACCATGCACAAGCAAGGCGCCACTCACATCGAAGACATGAACGCGGAGACTGTTCGTGTGCGGAACAGCCAAGACAGGGTCTAGCTGGCTAGGTCTTGTGGCTTGATTCCTTCCCCTGAATACGATTATGACTTTACCGCGGGGGCTGGATCCTTACATAGATATTAGAGGCTAGAGAGAGACTTAGAATATCGGGGCTGTTTACATGATCGTGGGCTGGCAGCTTGATAGAGGATACCTACACTTGCAAATATGAATTATTTCAAGCAATTCCAGCGTTCAAGCGTAGCATTTCTTTGCTTTTCCTGATCAGACTGATCCGAGACATCACAGCAGATGATCTCCCCCTGTTTCATACGGGCTCGCAGTAGTCCAAATGAGGTTCTCAATAGAAGAAACACTCAGAAAGTACACTTGATATGTAATGTTAGAAGCTTTCCTTGCTCGTGTCCATCCAGGTCACAAGTGATTACTCATGTTTCTGCACCAAGCCGTCCTTGCATAGGCTTGGCATCTCAGTGCTGGCGTCGCCGGTGTCAGTTCAGACTCCTTGAGTATGATTTCCGTTCCTTCCCTGACAGGTTCTGGAGAAGAAGGCCGTGCAGCAAAGCCACTCTTTCACTGACTAGTCACTCATGGTACCACCACCTCAGGAGTGCAGGCAGGAGCGGTAGAGACTTCCCTTCCGCAGCACGGGGCACTGTACAGTGCATCGATCCCATCCCCCAATTTACATATCATAAATGAGCTGTTCCCTTCTCTCCCTCTCTTCACCATTCCACCTCCAGGATATCGCTTCGAACATAGCGATTCGGCGTCGCGTCATTTGTGAGGCTTCTCTATCTGCTTTACTTTTTTTACACCTCATCAGCAATCATGCATCTCTGGCACCTCTTGCCTCTCGTGGCTTTTCCTTACGCTTGCCGTATCCTGCTTCCGGAGCACGGCGAACTGTCAGGCAATGGCCGGCCGGAATGCGACCTTCCGTCTCTGATCGACGCGACGGTGGATGACCTGCAAGAGGGCCTGAACAAGAGTTGCTTCACCAGTGTGGAATTGGTCAAGGTGCTTGTGGCCCTCAATTTCCTGGCTTCCCCGAAGTCGGAGGTCGTGGAGGCCTGGTTAACCGGAAATCCTGTTTAGGCGTACACGCTCCGAATCCATGAGGTCAATTCGAAGACGAATGCTGTTTTGGAGGTGAATGATGAGGCACTCAGTATTGCAGCGGCTCTTGACAGTGAGAGAAGCAGAGGGCAAGTTCGTGGGTAAGTCTGGTATCACATGGGGACTTCGAGCTGGGAATCGGGCTGCTAACTCTTGTGGGGTATGGGTGCAGGCCTTTGCATGGGCTGCCGGTCTTGATTAAGGATCTTATCGGGACGGGGGATCAACTCAATAATACAGGTACGGCGGATTGGTCTTGGTGGGCTGGGTGGAGGGACTGATGGCTGACTTCTTTTATAGGCGGGTCTTATGCTCTCCTCGGATCCAAGCTTCCTGCTGAAGCCACAGTGGTGAGTAAGCTCAGAGAGCAGGGGCTCATAATCCTAGGCAAGAGCAGCGTGTCGGAGTGGGCCAATTTTCGCTCCTTCAATTCGTCCAACGGGTGGAATGCCAGGCGAGGTCAGACGTATGCGGCCTACTATCCTGGGCAGGATCCGAGCGGAAGTTCGAGTGGGAGCGCTGTTGCGACTGACCTGGGGCTGGTCACTTTTGCTCTGGGTACAGAGGTAAGCTGGCGACTATCGACATGATGATTTGATACGAGCTAATTGCTTTTCGTTCTGACAGACTAGTGGCAGCATTTTGCTTCCCGCCGAGAAGAGCAATGTCATCGGTATCAAGCCCACTGTCGGTCTCACATCGCGATACATGGTCATCCCCATCAGTGAGCGCCAGGATACCGTTGGGCCCCTGGCCAAGACAGTCAAAGATGCTGCCATGCTGTTGCAAGCTATTGCCGGTGCAGATTCCATGGACAACTATACGCTGGCCTCACCCTTTGGCAACTACTTGCCCAGTTATGTGGATGCCTGCAAATTTTCCGGGCTGCAGGGGAAGCGCATCGGTGTTCCACGAAATGTCATCGCTTATTTTGAGCAGTCCGATGCCTCCATTATCCCGGTCTTCGAAGAGGCAGTCTCCATCATTGCGGGTGCTGGTGCGGCTGTCATCGATGAGACAAATTACACAGCGTACAGCGACTTCTCCACCAGCTCTATCCCAGCTTTGGTAGTGGCCGCTGATTTCACCTCAAATATTGCCACCTACCTGTCAAGTCTGACCGTAAACCCCAACGAGCTCCACAGCGTTGCAGACATTCGCCATTATACTCAGCAGAGTCCACCCGAGGAATATCCATCTCGTGACACGGGGATCTGGGACCAAGTTATTGCGGCGGGCTTGAACAACACCTCTCCAGGGTTCTGGTCATTGTATCAAGATAACTTGCAATTTGGCGATGAAGGGGGATTGTTGGGAGCACTGAGACGGCATGAGCTCGATGCTGTCATCTTGCCCACTCAGCTGGCCTCTGATATCCCTGCCATAATTGGGACGCCGGTGATCACCGTGCCGATGGGGGCATTTCCGAACGGAACACCGGTCCGAGCAAATGCACATGGAGATCTGATCGAGCAGGCGCCTGGGATCCCTCTTGGCGTCAGTTTCCTGGGACCCAAGTGGAGTGAAGAGGCGTTGATAGGTATGGCATATGCATTTGAGCAGCGGACGCTGGTTCGCGACCGACTCGAACGGTACATTGAGCCGCTCTTTTGAGCCAGTGAAGAATGTCTATTTCTCATAGTAATCTGCCAGCCTGTCAATATGAGCACCGCCCTTTTTGAAGTATGCTTAGCTTTAATTCATTAATGTAATGGGTTGCACGGCTGGGTAATTTAGGTATCTGGCGGGGGCAATCGATAGCGATATTGCGAGCCATTCTGATGATGTTCTGCTCAGGCAGCTTAAAAATAGCCTAGTGCATGAGCATTGGGCTATAATTCTGGAGCACGCATGTTGAAGGCCATAAGCAGCGAATTTTCAAGATCTGGTGTTATGTTTAGCCTACGATGCATAGTCAACACCTGGGTGGGTAACTAGACGCCTCGGGCAAGGGTGAGACTTGTAAGCTCGACGAGAAGCGATCGACGCAATAAACAGGCTTGACGATGTTCCCCATATGTCAAATATCGTAGTGATGTAGCTAGTGCTGAATATCCCAGGCTTTTAATACATAATTCCAGGATCATCTTCCCAACCACAACATCGGTAGAGAGCAATCTGGTTAAATCATGCTGCCTCAGGCATACTGCATTATTCTGCCACGGGGAGCTACGGGCGGTCAGGGACTGAACAGTTTCCTCGCCGAGTTTTGGCCGGCTGTTCTAACCACTTTTCTGCCATTTTGGGGCGGTCAGGAATAGAACAGTTTCCACCCACCGAGTCTCGTCCGTGGTTCTCCAGCTTTGGCCGACCGAGCCGCTACCACCTAATCTGGTTTAGCCCGTATGGCTGATAAGATCAAGCAAGTCTGCGCCGCGGGCTGAGTGCCTCGGCTGCAAAGCAATCCATAACCTCGATAGCCCCTCCTGCTCACTTGATGGAGGATCTCGAACAGACCTGCGCATCGCTGCGCGCGCAAATAGCTGCCACAGAGGCGCAGCTTGCCGGTCTGAAACGCGAGCTTCAGGTCGCAGAGCAAGCTGCACTCAACTCACAGAGTCAGCATACTGACACGGAGGAGAGGCGATGGCCACTTCTCGCTGAGGAGTACCGGCGTTATGGGAGGCAGATGATTGTGCCACAGCTGGGAGTACAGGGTATGTGTAGTCTCTTTTTCTCTCCACTCTTTCCCTTCAAGTTTACTCTACGATGTTCGATCTGGAATGTTGGAGATGCATGTGGCTGACCTGGGGGCGTTGCGCGACAGGTCAATTGAGACTCCGATCGGCGAAAGTCCTGATTGTCGGCGCAGGTGGACTGGGATGCCCGGCTGCGATGTATCTTGCTGGAGCTGGCGTGGGGACACTAGGATTGGTGGACGGGGACACCGTTGAATCGTCAAACTTGCACCGCCAGGTTCTGCATCGCAGCCGAAACGTGGGGAAGATGAAGGTGGACAGCGCGATTAAGTATCTCCAGGAGTGAGCTTCGCCCGTCTAACCGCTCTGTCACGAAAATGATTACACAACAGTTGACTGACCCATTATGTTTTGCTTCTTGCTAGATTGAACCCTCATCCCACGTACATCGCCCATCGAGCGCATCTAGCACCCGACGCTGCAGCGGATATCTTCAAAGACTACGATATCGTACTAGATTGTACGGATAACCCCGCGACTCGGTACCTAATTTCTGATACGGCCGTGCTGTTGGGCAAGCCGTTGGTTTCAGCATCCGCCCTGAGGACGGAAGGACAACTGATGGTACTGAACAACCCGCCTCGACCTGCGGGCGACGAAACCGGCGGACCGTGCTATCGCTGCGTGTTTCCCCGACCCCCACCAGCGAACACGGTCACCAGCTGCGCGGATGGAGGCATCTTGGGGCCCGTGGTTGGGACGATGGGCGTCCTGCAGGCTCTGGAAGCCATCAAGGTGATTACGGCCGACGACACGCGGCCCCCCAGCCCTCCGTCGCTGCATATCTTCTCCGCGTACTCTACGCCTTTGTTCCGGTCGATCAAGCTGCGCTCCCGCCGCGCCAACTGCGCGGTATGCTCTGCAGAGGCGACCGTAAACCTGGATACGGTGCGTTCCGGCACCACGGATTATGTCTTTTTCTGCGGCAGTGCCGATCCGGAGATGCTGCTCGCGCCGGAGGAACGGGTTTCGCCGCTGGAGTACCGGGAGCTGCACCCTCAGTTGTCGGCTGCAGAAGAGAGCAGGCAGCCGACAATGATCGACGTGCGGGAGAAGGTGCAGTTCGACATCTGCAATCTCGAGAACAGTATCAATATCCCGATCTCCACGATCCTGGCATCTTCTGCTAGCAAGGGTGATGACGCTGCTGCCCAGCTTCCATCGTGGGTGCCGGCGGAGCTTGCTGCTGCGGACTCGACGGACCCGATCTACGTGGTGTGTCGCATGGGCAACGATTCCCAGATTGTAGTGAAGAAACTGAAGGAGCTGGGACTGGATCGTGAAGGGCGACGGAAGGTTGTCGATATCCGGGGAGGCTTCCGCTCGTGGAGGGAACAGCTGGACCCTGAGTGGCCTGAGTATTAGACTGGTTCTGCGTCTCGATGGAGAGGCCTCCCTTCTATCTTTCTAGAGATTTGTTTACCCCGAGCATCTAATGATTTTTTGGCCTTCACAAGAAGCATCCATGATTAGACTGCATGTTATGTTCGGATATACTCGCGGCTGAAAAGTGCGCATTACTACAAACAAAAGAATCTCCGAGATCAAATCTATCGAGTCATACAGAGCTCAATTCCAGCAACTTTCATCAAATTCGAGATTCTTCTATGAATCGGTATGATGCCTTCGTATGCTCGTCAGCCACCTGCGCTGTTAGGGCTGCTGACGGGGTCATAGCGGGCGGGCTTAAGCGCAGCGACGGATTTTACAAGCCCGTGGCTGACGAGAGCCATGACTATACAACCGAGCATCAATAGCATCATCCACTTTCCGGCAGATAAATAGCACTTTCCCTCGACGCTTGTCCTCAATTCCAGTTCCATCTCAGAGCAAGACAACAAACCAACAAACCAACAAACCAACAAGACAATTAGCCAAAAGAAAAACACATCCACACTCACAATGGACGGACCCAACACCAAGCCATACCACATCCCCACCGACGCCGTCTGGTTCAGTCAGTGCCCATCCCCTCCCTTCCCATGCGATACAAAAACCACAAAAAACTAACAATCCCCCAAAGTCACCGGCTGCTCCTCAGGCATCGGCCAAGCCCTCGTCCACCACATCACAACCCACCACCCAACCCACCGCGTGGTCGCAACAGCCCGCAACCCAGCCAGCCTATCCTTCCCAACCACCAACGCCAACATCCTCCCGCTAGCCCTCGACGTGACCTCCCAAACCTCCATCGACGCCGCCCTCCAGAAGACCCTCGCCCACTTCCACCGCATCGACATCCTGGTCAACAACGCCGGCTACACGCTGGTGGGCGACACCGAAGCCGCCTCCGACGCCGAGGCGCGCGCCCTCCTGGACACCAACTTCTGGGGCGTGGTGGACCTCACCAAGCGCATGCTGCGGATCATGCGCGAGGACAATCCCAGAAGTGGTGGTCCGCAAGGCGGCGTGATCCTGAACGTCAGCTCGATGGGCGGGTTCATCGGGTTCCCGGGGAGTGCGTTCTACCACGCCAGCAAGTTCGCCGTGGAAGGGTTCACCGAGGCGGTGGCGAGAGAGGTGCCGGTGGAGTGGAATAGTGAGTTTCCCCGGTTTTCAAAGCCTCAGTCTCCCATTTTTCCATGGTGGTGTTCCGTCCGCCCTGCGCAACGCCAGCTAATCTTGTGTGTTCCCATCAAGTCCACCTCAGCAACATAGAGCCCGGCGGCGTGAAGACCAACTACGCCACCACCAGCCTCAAGACCATGGTCAACGGCCGCCATCCGGCGTATGACCACCCAGGGTATCCGGCGAATGCGCTGTTGGCGTATATGAGTCAAGAAGAGAATCGGCGGGCGTGGGCGGAGCCCCAGGCGGTCGTGCGGGCGATTGTTGAGATTGTGAATCGGGGGCGGAGGATCCCGATTCGGGTGCCTCTGGGTGCGGATGCGTTTGGGATGATTGCGATGGAGTTAGAGAGTATTCAGAAGGATTTGGAGGAGGTGAGGGAGGTGAGTTTGGGGGTTGGGGAGACGGAGCAGTTGGATTCGATCGGGTTTTTGCAGAGGGAGTAGTCCGGGTCTTCTGGGGGAGGGGGGTTGTGGTTGGGAGGTGAGCTTTGTGTATATATGTGTGGTCTTGGTGCTTAGGTCGGAGAATGGACTAATCCCATCTTATTGGTGCTTTATTCGTGCGGTGTTTGGCAGTATAGGCATAGCAAGATAGATCAAGTGTACTGTCTCGATTAGCTGTACGATGCTGTAGATCTCGAGGCTGTAAGTGTGATCAGCTGAAGTGGCTTGGGATCGGAATCCTGAGGGTGGGACAATCTCTACATGACGGAAGGTGAAGACCAGAAAGAAGCCTGAAGGTGCAGCAATTCATCTAGGGTTACCTAGTGAATAGCACCGAGAACAATCACTTTACCAATGGTCACTGTGAATAGCTTTCCGCTTCCTGGTATATCCGTATCGGAGTGACTGCGCCTCGATTGCTCGACTAGCCAATTCACTTGAATCTACTTAGATCTCTGTGTAAATACCTATTGCAGCAGTCTATGCCTGTAAAAGTAACAAGTGTATTCTCCATCCCACCCTTACGTCCGCGCTAAACGCAGTCTTGACCATGAATATACCGTGTCCAAGAAATCAAGCATCAATCATCTCCCTTGGCTCGAGTTCGAGATCTCATTCGACCACAGCATCACGCTGACCCAGATGAGCCACCGTACTATCAGCCTAGGATCAGTCGTATTCCAATCGATTACCATGTCCTCCACCCTCGAGTCATTGGGTAGCCTCTAATCCTAGAATTCGAGCGTGTTCTAGGACGGGTGGCAGTGCCACCAGAACAGAATTTCGAGCTCCCCAGAAAAGTTTTCCTGGAGCTAACTGCTCATTTTTTCTAACTGTGCAGGTGCATAACAGTCTACCTAGAACTGTCTAGTCTAGAAATTGCTTGCGGTATTCTCAAGTGTCCTATCCTCTGGGCACATACACACACCATGGGAGATCCAGACCCGTTGGTCAGACCAAGGCGCTGGATCGATCTTCTATACGTCACTCCAAATCGCATGAAGCAACCACATGCACGCACGCTCATAAGAAGGGTGTCCTCGACAGGACATGACAGTCTGTCTTCGTTATCTGCAGAACTTAGAAGCGAAAGTAAGAACTGAGCCCTTCCCCTTCCTCTTCTGCGTTTTGTGTGCAGCGCCAGCCCTAAGGCATCCAATCCACTAACAAAGCAAAACCAGTCCGCAGGCCACAATCTAATCCTTCCCTCTGCCTCTTCTCCCCCTCTCAAGAGAAGATCCGTCACGAGAAACATGACCGACTCCGTATCTGCCCCTTTGCAAAGCCTTCTCAACAAGGTAGATATCAACACTATCAGTACTACAACTACGGCTACTACTATCGCCACCACCACCACCAGCAGCAGCACGTGCGCTGCATCCTAAAGCCACTCTCGTCCCTCTTTCGGCGCTCGTGGAGTCAAGAGAGCGGGAGTAGGGGGGCGCCATTCGCCATTCTCGGTGAATGAGAAGGGGCTTGACGTGCCCATGCGGCGGTGTGGCTTTGCCTTAGCTGGTTGAAGTTAAGGAAAGGGGATGATGTGATGAGGAGGAAGAGAAGGTGGCCACAATGGTGGTTGAGAAGGATGTGGATATGGTAATTATCAGGAGGAGCATAAGAAGAAAAGAGAAGTAGAGAAAGGAGAGGGAGGTGGGTGTCCTTCTTTGGGCTATTGCTCTTTGGTGCGAATGCAATTCTAGGCATCGTGCTGTAATTGTTTCTTGTCGTGCTCTGGTTTTGTAAGTCTTTGTAAGTTGAGGCGATACTCTACCTACGTTGGATTTGTTGTTTTTACTATGTCATCTTATATGGATGTGTCTTGCTTCGCATCTGGAATGAATGGTTGCTTCGTTTTCATTGTTGTGGTGTCGACAGCCTAGGGCCAGGACTCGTAGCATGGAGAACAAGAAGAACAATGTCATTAGTATAGCATTAGCAAAAGTAGCAACATGAGCTACTTGAACCCACCACCAGAGCTCACTGTCTGGCAAGGACCCCAACCATCCAACACAATGACCAAGTACACCGTGTAACCTCGAACCAACCTAACCTTCTATCATTTCCAACAAGCCCTTCGGAGTACAAACCGACTGGCAAACACTCTCAGAATCTACCTCGCAAAGCAACTGCATAACCCGCCTAGAGCCACCACGCCCAGCAGAACCCTCCACAAAGCCTGCAGCCCATCCATGTACATCCCGCGCAGCACCGCCATCTCGCCCTCATTTCCATTCTTGCCCCCACTATCACCCATCATCATCAGCAACATCATCATCATCATCGACGAACCACCATCATCTCCTTGGGTCACATTCCCTCCCAGCCCCAGGATATCCACTCCCTTTTGGTCGCCCATCTCCCGCACCACCTGACCCAGAACGATGGTCCCGCTCACCGTCACCGCGATACACATGCCCCACGTCCGCAGGATGGTATACAGCAGCATACCTCCCTTGGAGACCTCGGTCTGCGGCTCCCCGGCGTTGCTGGTGCTGGTGCTGTCGGATTTCCAGCGTCCGGAGGGGCTGTGAGATCGTGGTCGGTGTTGAAGGCAACGATGGTATCCAGACATCAAAAGAGCGTGACTGATCCCTGTAGCCAGGAAAATAAAGACCCAGGCTTGGGGCGGGGTGTGCATGTCGAGGGTGATGAACGCACACGAGGCTAGGAGGCCGATGGCCCAGCCGGCGCGGATGAACCAGCGGAGGGTGCGGGGGCGGTGCAACCAAGACCATCTGGAGACTAAGAGGAGGGCGGGTAAGGATGGAGCGGTGACGGTGAGGAGGCTGAGGCCCGATAGGGTCGGGGTGAGGCGTTGGATTAGGATCAGGTACATCGGGAGGTTGAGCAGGTGGGAGAGGAGCTGGGGTTGTATGTATATTAGCTTCACTGGTGCATGGTAATGGGGACTTGGGGGCACGCACCGAGAACCCATGAAGGAAGCTACTGAGGTACATCATCGCTCGAGGCAGACACTGAATATCTGCTGCGATGAAGATCGATCGCGTCGCCCAGATGCTCTCATAGAGGCCAACCAGCAGAACCACGCCGGCTCCGAGGCAAAGAGGCACGAGGACCCGCCAGCTCGACCAGGGGTAGAAAGTGCCGCCCAGGCTTAGCCCGATGAGCAGGCAACCCATCCCCACGAGGCTGAGAACGACGCTCAGCCAGCACATGCTGCGGAGTTTGCGCATGGAGATGCTGCGCCGGCCACGCAGGTCCACGGCAAATGGAATTATGAGGAGCCCCAGTGCGCAGAACGCAAAGCTGGCGTAGAATGCCCATATCCTGGAGGTATAGTCGCCGAACAGTCCTCCGAGAACCAGGCCAAGCATGCTTCCGATGACACGAGCCCGAAAGAGATACCCAGAGTAGTGGGCCAGGTACATGTCGGGGATAATGTCAGCCATAACCAAGATCGAATATGCCATCACGGCTCCTCCTCCAATCCCTTGCACAAATCGCCCGGCGATGAGGCTGGCTAGGTTCATCGAGCCGCTGCAGACGCCCGTCCCGGCTGTCGCGAGCACCACAGCGGAAAGGACAATAGGACCAGTGCCAATCAGGTCCGTGAGCATGGCAAAGACCGCCTGGCCCGTGGCGCTGGCGATGAGATACGAGGCTTCAATCCAGAGGATCCCGCCCAGTGCTCGCTCGAGCGTACTCGATAGGCTCTAGGGAAACGATTTAGTCAACGCAAAGCATACTGTCGTCCATACGTACTGGTATCAGGGGTATCACGACAGTCACGTTCAGAGCGTCCATTGTGACCAGCAAACAGGCGGATATGATCATCAGCCATTCCTTGACGTCCGGCTTCCATTTTGTCCGCTCGATATTGGCTTCGAGATTATTGTCATGGTGGCTTGCCGGGGCGTCGATGTTCTCAACTAGGTTTTGGACGCATCGGCCGCTGAACAGCTGCACGTCGCAGCCATTTTTATCATGGCTAGAGTCAACATATTCCAAGCCCATTGTCGGTCGGTGCTCAGAGTCTTTTGAACCTCCGTGATTCAACTAGAGCTCATAAGGCAGCCGAGTGCGACACGGAAAAAGACGTCGAGCACATAGGACGACAGAGCATCCCATCATCGTGGATAGAGGGGAAGTTCGTTGCATCATCATCTAACAGAAGACTAATGCAAATCAGTCAATCATCCAGAATTCTATTGCCTTGATGGGTCCGACTATATCAGTCAATACATACTAGCATACTCCAGTATGCAAGGGGGCAGCACAGAGCCGCGAGGAGCTGATACGTAACGCGTGCTGTTGTTGTTAGCCCCCTAGTTTCGCTCCTGCATGAGGAGCGGTCATCGTGCAGTTCTAGCCATAACTTAGACGCAAAAGAAATGATATTGGGGCGATTCGCTCGAAAAGGGCATTCCGATCACCCAGGTAGTCGAGAAGTTCCGCATCTGGATAGCTTCGCTTTCCCTTGTAGTATTGGTATGCAGGCACAGGTCACATTGATTATCACCTCGGAACCAAGAAGCCAAGAAATAGGCGGCAGCACATTCACACATGGAAGGGAGGGTGTCTAATGATACTTGGGGAGCACATATCCCCCTATCTCTTGGAAAAATTGCATCGCGGTGGTCATAAAATTCGCAACATCCTCCCCAAGCCATGGCGCGAGCATTCTTGTCCTGGTGGATTCCATCTCACGAAGATAATTCCCGGCAACCTGTCAGAATGAACCTTAGTCCCGGCAAAGCCTCCAGAAAGAACGTAAGAGCTCAGAAGCGCACTCACTAGAACACAGGACCCTTTTCGACTTGAATCCATTGCAACCTGCCCAATCATGTCTGCCACACGCTGTGGTGTGTTAGCTTCCAGACCTGCTTCGAGCCATTGCTCTGAGAATCCGGCTGTGATTCGTGTCGGGGTGAAAAATGGAGCAACGGCGTTTATGCGGATGCCGTACTGCTGCGCAGTGGTCTGAGAGGCACGAAGCAACCCCACGCTTCCATGTTTAGAAGCGACATATGCCGCTACGCCAGTGCCTCCAAAATACCCAGAGGTAGATGCTAAAAGCACAATAGATCGAGATAGGTGATGTTTGTTCCTCATGTGGTGCATCGCTAGTCTGAGAGCTGTCGTTCGTCAGTAGGGAATGACGTGATGCGCGGATCTCAGTGACCTACTGTTCAGGGTTCCTTTCAGATTGATATCAATCACTCGAAAGCCTTCAGTGGACTCTCTGAGATCGCCATTCTCGTCAACATTGTCGAGATCCAGTACTGGATGTGACTCCATCACCCCCGCGTTGGCGATGACAATGTTGACCTCTCCGAAAATGCGGACGGTCTCGTGGAAGAGCGTTTTCATCTGCTCCCAGTCAAGGACATCGGCAGCAACAAAAGCTGCCTTCTCGGGCCAAGAAAATGTCTGGATAAGTGCTGCGGCTGTCCCTTCGAGAGATGCCAGATCGGAAAGGATGACATTTGCACCATGATGGTTAAAGAGTGTCGCGGTAGCGGCTCCTATCCCGTTTGCTGCTCCAGTTACAATGACTGTCTGGCCGTCTGCCTGAGATAGCAAGGCTGGCTCGATCTTGAATTCCTGCATACCGGTCCTTGATGGTAATGTGTTGCGGCTCGGATGAGGTTGGAGGAGGGCTGAAGCGTAACTGCGGGGTTGTCAGGAAATAAGCAGCCATCGCCGGTTAAGCCGCTCCCTGCTGATCTTCAATAGCCTGCCTCATACCGTATCATATCTCGCACGAACCAAAAATATTATGTACTAATTGAAATTGACTCTAGTGGGAGAAAAACTTGATTATATATACCGAAAGCCTGAAATCAATCGAGTTTGTCCAGATCCGAGACTCTTGACACCTCAGCTGAGGATTTGGCGCTGTGCGCAGTGCTAATGGCATGGAAAGAGAAGTCCAATTCTCCTACCAATGCTTTCACATCTCTACTTTGATTAGCATGATACAATAGTGAATCAAATGGTCTACTCACTTCATCAGTCTTTCCACGTCACCAACAATGCATCTGGTGGAAATCTGCAGCACTGAGAAGGTAGCAAAGCCAGGCTCCGCGATATGTCTCAAATTCAAGATATCTTTGTCCAGCGCCTCAAGTCTCTTGGAAAAGCTGTACGGACGGGGAGTCTTGAGATATGGCGGCAGAGGCTGTTGATTCGTGATGCTAGCTGAGAGGAGACAGAGAACGGACGTTACCTCGTGCGTCGTCACTCGAGCGCTGGCTACCAGTCTCCTGAAGTCATGAAGCCAAGCTGAGTCTGATTCATCATCATGCCCAAGTTGCAAGAGGGTGTCCGACGCGTATCCCAGAAGACTCAGATAGCTGACGATGCTGTATACATAGTCAGAAGGGTCGACACCCGCATCAGAAGCAGGCTAACGTACCTGTCAATGCATGTTATGATTGAATCATAACGCTTCTTGGGAAATCTTCCACCGATTGGGACTTCCCATTTCAAGAAGCCGGAGTAAGTTCGCAAACTGTTCAGCATGAGCATCTGCTTCGAAAACACCTTGTTGCGGGCCTTGAGCAGTCGCCGCCCTGAGGAGGTTTTGATCGCCAGATCACCCTCGTCACCTCGCATCCGGGCGGACACGGTCTCGTGGATGACAGAGTAGTAATTTGCTAAAAGATACAAAGATGCCCCCAGACTTTGGCGAAGAGCAGAATGCTCCGAGATCGGATAAGGGAAGAATGTCCAGAAGAAAGCAACGGCAATACCCCCAGCCACTGTTGCAAGTCTATATGGTGCTAGCAGATAGATGGGATAGTACTGCTGTCCATTGGAGGTGGCCACTGCCTCTCCAATCTTGCGAACCTCCAGCTCGTACCCCACTATCATGGAAGTAGAAATGATGGTAATGATGCCAATGATGCGGAAGCGGAATTGCTTGATTGGTACATAGAAGACGCAGGTTAGGAAGATGAACAGGAAGACGATAATTCCTGGAGTCTTCTTGCCGGGGATATACCAAGCCAGTAAGCTAAGCACCATAGCCATGACTGTGCCCAGAATACGGAGAACAAAGCCGAAGATGCTCTGACCCGAGGTAGGCGACATACTCAGATTGACCATGATCATGGCCCATACAAACCTCTGCTTCACGAAGAAGCTTTGAGTGTCATGAAGAAATGCGACCACAGCCACAGTCATCGTGGCACAAGCTACGCGGAAGCCATAGGCAGACTCAGGTGAGCGGAGGGCGGAGGGAATCCGTCGAAGCTTGTCTCCAAATCTTTGCAGTTCATTCTCTGGGGGTAAGTGTTCGGGGTCTTTTCGATGTTTGTATGCTTCGCCCAGCTGAAGAATATTATTCTGCGAGCTGATGTCACCACCAAGATTATCATCTTCGTGGGTATCTTCCGCTTTGAAGGCGCTTACGACCCACTTTAACAGGCGCTTAGATCCTGGTATGATGAGCCGTTTTCTTGACAGTTTTCCGCTCGCACGTTTCTCGTCGGCAAAGTGGATGAAATCCTGAATGACATGACCGGTGGAGCTGAGAAGTTGTTCCATCTATACAAGTCAGCAAATCGCGTGGAACACCAGACAGCACAATGCCCTACGTACGTAAAGAATTAAATACAGCTGTCGTCTGCTCCGATCTCGTCCAACGCCTGAACTATCAGAAGGTATATCATCGATATCGAGGTGAACGGAAGAAGGGTGCTCAAAAAAGTCCGGGGGGAGGGTGATCCCTTTTTCTTCACCCCAGGCCCGCAAAGCGATGCGCTTGGCCGCCTTGAAATCGCTTAGCTTCTTTGCATAGAGGGCAGCAAAGGCTTTTTCGCCAGGTTTTGGGCTTGCGTTCGCCTCCACATCTTCCGATTCTTTCGATGTAGTTGATGCTTTGGGCGGTTTACTGAACTCGAGAACGTACGACACATGCTGAAGGCCTTCATCAATGGTATCGATCATAGACCGGAACGGATCATGCACAGCCCGCATGATATCGTTCCATTCCTGCACAACGCGACAGCGTATATCCTCTGGAGCGCCAGGATCGATCGGCTGGTTCCACTTGTTGTAATCAGATAGACGCTGGAAGATGTCGACCACAAAGCTTAACCCCACAACAGGAATCATAGCTTGGCGCAGCTGTCTGAAAATTGCTTGAAGATCGTCCGGACCAAGTTTGCCGATGGCGAATTCACGCTTTGCAAATGTCAGGTCTCCGTGGATCTTAGCATGGAGATCTGTGAGTTTCTGGCAAGCCGATCGAATAGCCGCTGCCTCTGGGCTGTAAACCTTGCCGCTCTCGGTCATCTTTTCCACTCGAGAGTCGTAGGTCTCGGCCCGCCCAAACATATCCTCGCGCTCTAGGGATTCAAAATACGATGTGTGGGCTCTGAGAGCGCCACGCAATCCGTCGATATAACCTCCCATTTGTTTGAGAATGATGCCGCGAGTACTCTTGGGCAGAATGAACAGGGACACACCTGTGCAAATGGCTAGCCCTGTCAGACAAGCTTCGAGCAACTTCTTCACCAATGCAATTGCTGCAGTCATGGTTCCTAGACGGGGGGCATAGGTGAACGTGACATTGGCAACAATGGAATAAATGATCACAGGGAATTGAAACTGCTGGAATTTGGCTCTGAAAGTGTGGACCACATAAATCTGGAAGAAAAGCCAGACTCCACTGACTGCTGACGCGGAGGCATTGTACGGGACGGAGGTGGTTGAAGTAGCACTCGATGTCGCCGACGATGTCGCTGAAGATGGCTCTGAGTGTTCTCGGGCCTTGATACAGCAGTACATCATGAGCAATGCGAAAGCGGAGGCCACGCAGACTGCGAGGATGTCCAGCACCATCATCTGAATGAATTTCGCGCGCGGCATAATGGAGAACCCCAGGACAGAGATGATAGCCACTAAATAGCCAACGGTGTTGAATTGACCGGACACGACATCTGATTGATACCTATGGCTTATTAGTTCTGGTGCTTATAGTCATCATAGAAATGCTGGTAGGCAAGCATACATAGCTACGCATATCGTGGGTGGAAGTGCTCCCCTGTTGCGAACAACTGCATTTAGCTTCAACGCACATTATCTGATATACGAGGATTTGGTGGGACATACTTCATCATAAGCAGTAAAGTGGGGATGTCCATATTTAGCTTACCCCAGATAATCTGGGGTAAGCTGAAAATCCTCGTCCATTTTCGCTTCTTGGGGCCATCATTTGTGGCCTGCATTGATGGCGAGGCGGCTGCTTCGGCAGCGTCCGGGGCTACCATGTCTTGGGCCAGTCAGTGGTGTCGGTCGCAATGTCTCGATGTCTCTGTCTCTGCTCAGGATGCATTTCACGGGGTGTTTTGATAGTCACTCCCTCTATTCTCCCGGGCACACGTGATCTGTCAACCGATGCCGAATCCGGAGACGGGAAAAGAAAGCCTGGAGCTCTGGATTGTGGAGGACGATGATTGAGGGGATAGAACGGACAACTTTAACCTGCAAGGTTAATGAGACAGCACAGGAAATAGATGCAGGGGAGAAGGTTGAAGAAAGTGTAATCGATTTTGTTGAGGCGGGATACGAGAAGGATGACTCGGTGAAGATAGAATTGAGAGGGAAGAAGGATTATTTGGTGGCGATCGGCGCTCCGTTACTTGACTTGGAAGGGGAGAAAGTATCGTGCATCCGCGGTCACGGCTCGTCAATGCCGCCTGCCCACGGACTGTGTATTGATCTTGAGCCTACTGTTTACCAGTATATATGCAATGACCGCGGGAAATCAACATTTTGTGTCAAATAGGCAGGCTGCAATGTGCAAGAACCCGCCATCCCGTCGGACTATTTCCGACCCACTTGCAGCTTAACCGCATATGATATCATACACTCACGACAGAGGATAATTAATATTGACACCGGCTGCCTTTCCTATGGCACCACTGCTAAGCCTGCTTAAAGAAGGCGGTAGCACGAGCCCACTAGCCTGATTAGGAAGTGCATTGTATCTTATATATATATACACTTACAGGCGGAATGGTAAAAGCGGCAGAATCGGTCTCACGTGGTCCTCGCAGCCTTCCCACATAGGAGATCGATGAGATTGGGCATGTCAAAATTTCTGTGGCATGTAGGAAGGCTACGAGGACCACGTAAGACCGATTCTGCCGCTTTTACCATTCCGCCTGTAAGTGTATATATATGTAAGATGCAATACACTTCCTAATCAGGCTAGTGGGCTCGTGCTACCGCCTTCTTCAAGCAGGCTTAGCAGTGGTGCCATAGGAAAGGCAGCCGGTGTCAATATCAATTATCCACTAGTGAGACAACCAAAGTTGTTGCTACGTATTTGACCCAGCTTCGAGCATCTTTCACACCCGATTCCTTGATATATCTTTCTCTCTAGCATCACTTATAGTTCAAGGAAGATGAGTCTTCATAGTTTACTCCTGGAAAGTCTACACCTTTGGGCACAAGACAGGCTATTGAAGTTTGTGCTCGAGCCGGGCGGCCTCGGATGTCCGCTGCCGGAATTAGAGCAAGTTAGTTTTATCCGGTACTGATCCGAAATCATCGGATCCCAAGTCGCGGTGACCCGAACTTTCCGCCCTCGTCATGCTCCCCTCGCCGACACGTACCTGGAGATCTTATGCTTGGCGGACAAAAACAGGCAATAATTTGCGTATTGCTTGCGCATGAGGATTCAGATGTCGTTCTGCACCATCATTCTTTTATGTTAATTCCGTGATAGTTGAGCGGTTTTACCTTGTCTTGCTAATTTCACTCGTTCTTGCGGGTGGAACGCGAGTGTACGATTCCCCGGGGGGAATCGTACTTAGTACGATCTTTTTTATCGTACTTTGTTTGATCTTTTTTGTTCTTGTTTTCCTCCTATCCGCAAGTTGGTTGCCTATACTTCGAGGAAATACGACCATAACAAGCGATAAGTGATCTGTGAATTTGTCGGGGATTTGGATGAGTGGTAATTTCAGCTACGTGAGGCTATAGCGAGGAACTAGCAATATGGGCTGAGCAGCCTGGCTGTCGAGGGCTTAGGGCTGCCAACAAGAAGCGTAGCCCTAGCAGGCAAGGCCCTTTCTAGTCCTCCACAGTAAATGCTCTTCTTCGAGTCTCAATAAATCGATCAATGTCTTTACTTTCTAGGACTACTGTTATTAGTTATAGGTCTACGTTTACTAGCAAACTACATATAGCAAGGCGTAACGTAACATCCTTCAAGAAGTGGATTAGATCGTCGATTCAAATCCTAACGTAGAGCCAGAATTCGAGTCTCCTGTATGAAGAGAATTAATTACACGAAAGGTAAACGTTTCCCCGGAGCAGCGTCGTCAGCTGCTACTGTTTCAGCCCCTAAGCACCATCCCAATATCACTATAGCAAGAAGAGAAACCAAGCTACCTTCTCCTTTACAGCTTGCCCTGACCAGCGTTGGCGGTAACGCTGGAGGCGACGGAGGTGTAAGCGGAAGCAGTGGCAATGTTCTTGCCGGCGAAGTTGGTGAGGAAGGCAGTGTCGGTCTCGTCGAGAGTGCCAGAGCTGCCGAAACCGTTGATGACACAGGCACGGCCAAGGGAGGCAGTGCAGGAAGATCCGGAGGAGGTGGAGGGGACAGAGAACATCTGGCCGTCGACGGGGGTCTCGACAATGGTGTCAACGTTCTGGAAGACGTTGCCCTCAGCAAGGATGTAGGCACCGGACATGACCTCGAAGGCGTGGCCGGTGTTGTCGTACCAGTAGTTGTTGACCTGTCATTGGTTAGCCACAAGCTCTACAGATCACCGAGATTATGCTAGTGATTGTCGAGAGGGAGGAGGGTTGGAGTGACGTACGGCGTGGACGAGGGTGTTTCCTCCAACCTTGGGGGAACGACCGCTAGTGTGGTAGATATAGTTGCCCTTCAGGGTGACCATGTCGCTGGATCCATCGAGATAAATGCCCCAGTATGTGTAGCCGTCACAGGTAGCAGAGTAGTCAGTCAAACCGTCGATGTAGTTGTTGGTGATAGAGACACGGTTGTCGGCATCAGTTCCAAGGACGATGTGCTGGCGGCCAATGCGAGCGGTGGTCACGTGATCGATCCAGACCATATCGACATCGTCAAGAGTGATAGCATCACCACCCCAGACGTACTTTTCGTTAATGTCGGTGATGGCGATGTTCCTGAGATGCATTGTTAGAGGGGACCGCCTATCTCAAAATCGTATGATTGGAGACGTACTGGATGATAACGTTCTCAGTACCGCTGACAAGACGGAGACCCTTGCCCTTGATGATACCAGTGCTACCGACACCAACGATAGACTTGTTGGAGCCAACAGTAATACCGAGAACACCAGCGTTGTCGCTAGAAGGGTACAAGTGTCAGAACGATGCTCTATCAAGATAAATTGATGGTGGCTAGAGCAAAATCACTTACTAGCTCACGGAGACGGAGGGAGCATCAGGCTCGTAGTTCGTGCACCAGTCGTTCTGGTTAATAGCCACCTGACACGCACTTGCCGTTCCCCAAGGGGCACATCCAGTGGATGTAGTGGTACCCTCAGTGCCGGTGAAGTCGAACGTCTTCTCGAGAATGATGACGCGGGCCTCGCTGTCACCGAGGTAAGAGACCAGCTCGTCAGTGGTGGAGGGATACACGGGAGTAGCGGAACCTCCTCCGGTAACGCCCTTGGCGAAACCCTCGGCAGAGCCGGAGACTCCAACAGCAGCGGCGGAGCCGACAAGTCCAGCGACAGCAGCGCTGAAGATAGCAGTGTACTTCATGTTGGATTGGAATGACAGAGAACAGAGATAGAGAACCAGCTATCTGAATAGAAAAAAAGGAAAGACTGAGAAAGAAGGACTGAAGTGAAAGAGGGAGAGAAAGAGGGAAAGAGTGGAATGAGAGAGAAAAGAAACCTGATGGAGGAGGGATGCTCCAGAGGACTTATATAGCTGGAATTCCGGGAATCATGAGGAGAAAGCCACCATCTCCAATCTGATGGAGCAGAGTCAAGATATCGAATGAAATTGAACGGGTGATCGAGGTGAAACGACCAAGTCCATTTTTGATTAGGAGCTAAGGACTCTTGCACAAATGCGTCAATTCTTCGTGATCAGTCCCAGACTTGGCGCCGGAGGAGTGACCGAGGCCTTGCAAGGAAATCATGGAGTTTTGGAAAGGTTGAACGAACCAGACCGTGGGCTGATTCAAAATGGGAAATGATAAGCAGCAGCAGCCACATGGTTTGTCCATCACCACGGAGAGAACCTCCTGGTTCATAGCCCATGACCACGGCGATCCACTGTCAAGGGGCGGCCGGTAGCAGATGGGAACTGGCGCGATAGAGGCGTTAGACTGTGGAGCATCCCGGGTGATTTACGATGTTTCATGATTATCACGCCGCTGCTATTTAGTCCCTGTAGTCTAAAGTAAAAATCACGCCGTGGCAAAGGCCGGAGGTCGGACCTCACCAGTACACGTAGACAGAGTAATTCTTCCGTCTTGGCTGGGGATCCGTGATATTGATGGCCAGACGAGGCCAGACGACTGCAGGACTGCAGAAAGATGAGGATGTTGAGAATGATGGAACCTCGACTAGGGCACCGGCCGGGGGGGTTAGGGCTTTGTAACACGGAGCCGGGCCGGAAACCTTCCGTATCTCACGGTCTCACCCATCAAGGAGTCTCAGATCTTGTTGTGACTTCCTATTAAACGGTTGCAGGGTTGTTCCCCATGTTCCTCGCAGAGTATGGCTGGTGACTGCGGAAAAAGAATCTTTAGATCGTATCTGCATAGTGTCAGGAACGCTGAACCGCCGGTCCACAGCCAACAGGCAAGTGGGCCTTTTTTCCGACCCACCACATCGCGGGACCAGAAGTCCAAAACAAAAAGAACCCAAAAGAAACGTAAGATTTATTGCGCCGGCAAGCCAGCACCCCGTTTTCACTCCCAGAAGGGTAGCTCCGAGCGCTTCCAGAACACGAAGTATGTCTCCATCAATCGGATATTATGGCCACCTTGGTAAGGGAGGGCAATGTGATCCCATCAGCGTCTCTGACTGGTGCCATTGAGGACAAGAGTCTCCACTTGAAATAACCTCCCAAGTCTTCCAAGAGGATCCGGTCCTTGACGAAGAATGGGGATGACGTCCACCTGTGTCTTACATTCAAATTTAGCTGCAGGACGCCAGCGGAAATAAACTAATGGAGGTGAAGTCTTAATCTGAGACCAAAAGCCTTAGCAGTTTAAGCTTCTTGCAATGTGGTGATGAGATATGTACGGCGTGGTGAGGCCGGATTGTACGTGCGATAAGCCTACCAATGAAAGACATTTTATCTCTGTCGTCCAGCAACGGTCGGTCGAATTACCATCTCGGGCGTAGAGGCTCATATAACAGAGAACAGCCGGTGGATTAAGGGCTGTAGAACCATCGGGTTCCGGCCTTAAGCATGGGCAATGCTACTCGGTATCTGGACGAGCGATGAAGAGGGGTGGAATATTCAGTTGTTTTCATTTCCCGCCAGCGCCCTTGACCAGATGCAGCAACTTTTCCGCAATCCTTATGCAGCGATTGATTCCTGAATGTTGCAATCTAGCATCTGGGCCCGCAAGAGAGTGGCGTAGCTGCGATATTGGCTGACTGTTTTGTTCGTCAGTCACAACTATAAAATGGCAGTTATAGGAGACCGGCTTCTTAGTGCAATTTACTTGGTCCCTTCCCGCTTTATGGCAGAGGAGCAGACTGCTCATATCGCCTCCGATTCGGGCAATGATATGCATCTGCAGTGTCTTGATGGTGAGGAACAAGGTACTTGTGCTTCCATATCGCTCAAGTATTGGCAAATGTCGAGATGGTATGCTCCATACCAAGCCCAGCTAATGTGATAGTGACCACGCCCATTTCCACCGACTGACCATGTCGAATGCGAGGAGAGAAGGAAAAAGGGGAAGATTCGAGATGTCCGAATACGACGCATAAGATGAGGTCCTTAATCGGATCTCGCGGCATGAAATGGCATCTTAAATTAAGCCAAGAACATTATTTAAGGATTCAATCCGCTTGATGTTGTCCTACGCAAGTGATCTCGGTAGGTATAGGGAACAGATAGATCAGACTGCGACTTGGATCCATAAGATTGAGGAGCTGGGTTAATCCCATCTTGCCAGCACAACTTGGACATGAAGCCCAAAGCCAACAATCAATCAATTAAACTCATCATCCTCAGACTGGGCAATGGCAGCGGTAATGGACGGCAGATGACTGCCGACTAATGCAATGTGATGTCTTTTTAATAAAGCCTTTATCGCTGGTTGGGTAAAAATAGTGACGGTGTCAAGAAGCTTGGTGTCGGCATTTGTGGACGATGTCTTACATTTCAAGTTCCTCCCAAGTTCCGCCCGCGGGGCTCAGCTGGATAAGTTAACTCCCACAAAAGACTGCTGACCTGTTATTGCCTCGTTGCTCCCGCCTTAATGCCTTGGTGCCTGAGACCGATTGTGATGCCTTATAGCCTAGCGGGTAAGTGTTGATGCCTGAATGACATACCACATCACATGACACCAAGGGCGGCAAAAGCTTTCGGCTCCGTTCCTCCTTTGGGACAGACTGGACAGTGCAGGCGGCGGAAAGCGGATTACATAACTAGTAAAAAGCCTGCCCTTGCGCGACGGGAGCTGGGGATGGCTATGATGCGGGGGAGTAAAAAGATGTAAAGACTAGAATGGTGATTAGTGCTTCTAGGTCGGCCTCTTCGCTTTTCATATGAGAAGAATTGGACCACGCACATCCTCACTCGCCGTCACAGGGCAATACATTCCCTTAAGTCTAGCCGCACTGTAGAGCCTCGCCGTGTATCCCCGACGCTTGCAATTAGCCTTTGCCTGATTGGTTCTGATTTGCTGAGTCAGCCAATTGCCGGCCGTCAGACCCGAGGTTACCTTCCGATTCCAAAGGCGACAAAACATCGCCAGCATCGATCGACTTCGACTTCAATCCACCTCGTGCCTCTCTTGGTCGTTGCCTTGTCATTGCCGCTGGCTGGCTGCCTTTCTACGGACCTCTCTCCTCTCCGCTTCGCAACATCCAGTTGACGTCTCACCGTCTATTTCTCCTTTCGCCTCAGTGCCCTCAGGGTCTATCCCATTTTTCGCCTCCCTATCTTCCATCCCTCCGGTTTGAAATTGAAGGATCGCCCACCATGTCTGCCCTCCGCTCGACTTCGCGCCTTTTCGCGGCTTCCAAGCCCCTCTTCCGCCCAGCTGTCTTCGCCCGCTCTTATGCGACCGTTGATCCCGTGGCCCAGGTGAGCGCAACCGGCCATGCCACTACCAGTGTCACCCCCGAGTCTAAGACGTCGACCGTGCAGGAACCCACCCCCTCCGAGCAGCCTCGCATCAAGAAGTTCCAGGTCTACCGCTGGAACCCCGATACTCCCTCCGAGAAGCCCCAGATGCAGACCTATGAGTTGGATTTGAACAAGACCGGTCCCATGATGCTCGATGCGCTCATCCGTATCAAGAACGAGATCGACCCCACCCTGACTTTCCGGAGAAGTTGCAGAGAGGGTATCTGCGGTAGCTGTGCGATGAACATTGATGGTGTCAACACTCTCGCTTGCTTGTGTATGTTCTGATTCTTTCCGCAACCGCAATTGTGTGAATCCGAGTCGCTGATTGTTCATATGCAGGCCGCATTCCCACCGACACTGCCAAGGATTCTCGCATCTACCCGTTGCCTCACACCTACGTCGTCAAGGACTTGGTCCCCGATTTGACCTACTTCTACAAGCAATACAAGTCCATCAAGCCCTACCTTCAGCGTGATACTCCTACCGAGGATGTAAGTACTTGTCGCATCGAATGGGGCGAACTGGTACTAACATGGTGAACGCAGGGTCTTGAGTACCGCCAAAGCCCGGAGGAGCGTAAGAAGCTCGACGGTCTCTACGAATGTATTCTGTGCGCCTGCTGCTCGACCTCTTGCCCCTCTTACTGGTGGAACAGCGAGGAGTACCTCGGTCCCGCCATCCTGATGCAGTCCTACCGTTGGATGGCCGATTCCCGTGACGAGAAGACCGCTGAGCGTAAGGCCGCTTTGGACAACAGCATGAGCGTCTACCGTTGCCACACCATTCTCAACTGCTCTCGGACTTGCCCCAAGGGTCTGAACCCTGCTCGGGCAATTGCCGAGATCAAGAAGATGATGGCTGCTCACTAGGAAAGCGACCAAGAACAAAAGAAAAGAACTGCTTGATTTCTTCTTTCCCTTTCTGTCCTAAGTCGTGTGTTATTTCAATTCCTTCCTCTCTTCACCTTTTCTTCTCTTTCTTCCAGTTCCTTTTCGCTCGCGCTCTATTCCCTCCGTTTTCGAGGTCTCATGTCGGATGTTTCAATAGGTGTAAATTGTGAATGTTGATTTTCTTAGCCGCGGTGGTCAGTTCTACCAATGGAATTTCATATATATATTCTACATTATGCATTGACGGATCTCTGAAATCTTGTGGAAGTTTGAGGAGAGGATCATGGCAGCATAATAAAATATGCGGCTGGATTGACATGCGCAGACACGGATTTGTACTCCATGCAGAGGACGGCTACTTGCACAGGGAGAACGCCAGACATGGTATCATGCAGGTGCTAGGTTCGACCTCGGTGCGGTCGACATATGATTCAAGGAAAGTCATCAACTCAAACAGCAGAGCCCAACCATCAGACAAGTGAGGTCTTGCATGTATCAAGACAAATGTCCATATGACACCCTCGAATGGTATAAGATACATCTTGAGACGAGTCCGAAAACTTCTTGCAAATTAGCTGCGGGCTTGCCGCGATGGAGTCGATCAATCTATCAAACGCATGGAGATCCCGGAGTTCGCGCAAACATCCCGGGTCAGCTGTACGGCATCTTTCTTATTCCCAGCAGTACCTCTTTTGTCGGGGAATGGTCAAGGTTTAACGACTAATGAGAGATTCTGTTATCATGGCCAAGACTGATCAGCACTTCAGATCACAAGCCGGCAAGAACTATTACGGTAGCAACTAGGATGATCAATTATGTAGCCTACCCGACTACGAACCCTCTTGACAAGGCAACATAGAATTGAGTGGTCCGGTTCAAGGTCAAGTTGGTGGTCGTTGGTTGCTATAAAATCTCGGGGCCCCAATTTCCTGACCCAAGTCCAATGTCAGTCATCAAACATCCTTCACCACTTCATTGGCATGGGAAGACGAAGAAGAGATCTTGCTTCCATTGCCAGGAAAAGCATACATTTGCGCCATGCCCTGTTTGAAAGACACCAAAGAAATTGAGACGGGCTCGCTTGCGAAAAGAGCACTGGCTTGCACCCCGCTTCTGGCATGCTACGCCTATGCCAATGTCTCGATGGACTCTGTGCTTGCAGGACTCCGTCCTTTGATAGGATCGCTCCTTCAGTCCGGCAGTTGGACTGCGAGCAGTGGGGAAGTTCTGAGGCTGACCGAGCCTCTTTACAATGTTCCGTTGTTGGATAAGACTTTTGGGGCACTGGTGACCTGTTTTATGCCATCTATCAGTGGATCCGATGTTTTGTCACACGCGCAGATGTCGTTCATGGCGGACCTTGGTCCGATCTACGGCATCTGGCTTCTGGAAAGCGGCCGAAGAGCCCACTCTTGGGTGGAGATACTTTTGTGAGTGGCCTGGGATCAGTCCGATACAGAACCCACTGATCATCTGAACTTACAGTCCGATCACCATGGGAGCAGCATTCCAACTGAGAGGGATCAGATTGCTCCAATTTACTACATAATCGAGCACCTACGAACACCTTTGAGCAAGCTTGTTCACCGTCGCCATGAAGTCAGATCAGATATGCTGACGACCTTCCTGCCTACTATGCTCACGGCATACTACCTCCCGACGCTCGGGAATTTTCTTCCTCGGGAATTACAAAATTGCCGGTATTTCAACGCTATCTGGCAGCTATTCCCGGTGGTGGTTCCACTCCTCCAAGCTCCTTTTCGTCTTATGGACAAAGTGGCCTCCGAACCAGTCAAGAAGTTATCCAAGGAACAAGAAACTGTCGAAGCCAAGCGTAGCTCGAGAAAGACCCTGCGATACATTCGTGGCATTTATATGTCCTTTGCCGTCATTTCAGGGCTCAGTTTTACGTATGCTCGCCGTTCGCTCCCAGCGGGCTCGTCCATGGCCGGTGTCATTCTACCTGGACTATGGGATTATACCTTGCCTGTCGGTAGCTTTGCAGAGGGAATTGCACGGTTCATGAAATATGATGAGAGTCTCGTTATGGCAAGTGGATTCGTCTGGCTGGGGTTGAAGTATTGGGAGCTGAAACGGCACGATACCCGCTGTCGTGGTGGAAGGTGATTATGGGAATGGCAGCCACGACGGCGGCGTTTGGACCGGGGGCTGCAATGTCGTTGGGCTGGGGACTGCGCGAAAAGATGCTGGCGAAGATTGCTGCATAGGTTTGCAATGTGTGACTCTTCCTCCTGGACCGAAAAGGTGTCTGTCAGCCTCAGTCCGTCGCTCGTTGTGTCATAGATGCGTGGGTGGGTAAGGCTTATGCAAGTCTCTAGGATAAAGCTATAATAGACCGTTCAAGAAACCCAACCTTGGCAGTTCGGCCCTGTCCGTCTAGTATCGGAGGGGTATCGGCACGATAGACTCGGAGGGAATTGCACACATCCCTTTTGATGTCATCCCCGCATTATCTGATCGGCTCATCTCCGACCCCTCCTCGGACTTCCATGCGACATCAACTCTCCCTCTTATAAGTAAAAGTCGCAACGCAACGCAGCGCAACACATCATACCATATTACAGAGTCGAATTTTCTTTTCTTCTTTGTTTTCTCACCTTTGTATCTGCCGCCAGAATGACCAAACCAGCCATTGGCTTCGTCGGCCTCGGCGCCATGGGCTTCGGCATGGCCACGCACCTGGTCCACGAAGGCTACCCCGTCCACGGCTACGACGTCTTCCCCGCCTCGATCTACCGCTTCCAAGCCGCGGGGGGCATTGGGGCTGCCTCGCTGCGCGCCTCCGCCCAAGACAAATCCATCTACGTGTGTATGGTGGCCTCCGCGCCGCAAGTCCAGAGCGTGCTCTTCGGAAACGAGGGCATTGTGCAGTGTACTTACCCCATGTCCCCTCCCTTTTCCCACTGTTCTCACCCTCAAACCCCTCCCCCAAACCCAAAAACCAGCTACACCAATCTAACCAGCTACAAAAAAAGCCCTCCCCAAATCCGCCACCCTAATCCTAATGTCCACCATCCCGGCCACAACCGCCCAATCCCTCGCCCAAACCATCCACACCACCCGCCCCGATATCTTGGTGGTTGACGCCCCCGTCTCCGGCGGCGCCCTGCGCGCCGCAGCCGGCACCCTCTCCATCATGGCCGGCGGGAGCCCCGCCGCGTTGGAGGCCGCCACCCCGGTGCTGGAGGCGCTCAGCGCCCCCCGCAAGCTTTACCTGGTGCCCGGCGGGATCGGCGCCGGCAGTAACATGAAGATGGTGCATCAGGTGCTCGCGGCGATCCATATCCTGGGCGCGAGCGAAGCGCACGGTCTGGCGGCGCGGTTGGGGTTGGATGCGGCGCGCACGGCGGAGAGGATTGTTTCTGGGGAGGCGTGGACCTGGATGCATGAGAATCGGTCGCCCAGGATTCTGGGGGGTGAAGGGGTTTGGAGTCCCGGGGTTAGTGCGGTGACTATTATTTTAAAGGATGCGGTATGTTTTTGCCCTTATTTTTGGGGGTGGTAGGGGTGAGGGTGATAGTAGGTTGACGGTTGCTGACTGCTGTATATGGGTAGGGGATCATCACGACCTCGGCGAGGAAACATCACTTCCCGACACCGCTTTGTGCGACGGCGGAGCAGATCTATCTGTCGGCGCTGCTGCAGGGGGACGGGGCCAAGGATGATGCGGCGCTGGTCAGGCAGTATTTTGCGGGGCCCGTGGCGGAGGTTGATGCGTCTGCGTTGAGCGCGGAGGAGCAGGAGGAGCGGACGCAGCTGGTGCTCGATCTGATGGCCGCGGTGAATCTGGTGGCGGCCGCGGAGGCGACCTCGTTTGCCCGGTTTTTGGGCGTGGATTCGGCGCAGTTCTATGAGCTGGTGAGTGATGCAGCCGGCGGGAGTAAGGTGTTTGTCTCCCGAGGGTTGGAGATGATTGAGGGCAGGGTCGGTGAGAAGGCGCCGGTCGGGGCGGAGACGGTGGATGCTCTCGTGCAGCGGTTGGAGAGGGTGGTTCAGAGGGCCAGGGACTTGCATTGTCCGTTGCATTTGGGGAATGCGGCGTTGGGGGTCTTGTTGATGGCTAAGAGGGCTGGGCTGGGGGGGTCGAGTAGTACCAGTGTCGTGGGTTTGTATGAGGGCGGAGGCTGGAGGGGGAAGTTGTGATTACTGATTAGGTAGTTAGTCAAGAGCCAGAAATATCAACATTTGTCTCTATTTGGATAGATTTCTTGGATCTCATCTTCCTTGGTGGTACAGTATGAGTGGTAATTGGAGGTAAGATATCGGTTCCTGCATCCAATATTACCATCTATGACAGTCTGTGGTTATACAATCTACCCCTCGCAGTAAGCAAATGACATCAGATCGGAGCAACTCCGGCCTCGGAGCCCCCTCCGCGGGGGTAATCAGATGGTAAACAGAGAGAAAAGGTGAAGTATACTCCGACAGTCATCCCATATACCTCACTTCCCCTCCCTATAAAGCATGACAACACCACACAAACACCGCTTGTCCCCACCCATCAACACCCCCAACTCCATCCAATCCCCCCTCCTCCCAACCTAACACCAAGATGCCTCCTCTAACCGAAAACCGCGCCATCCCCCTCCTCGACCACGCCGCCGCCAACCACTACGGCATCCCCGCCATGTGCTGCTACAACGTGGAAGGCATCCTGGCGACCGTGCGCGCCGCGGAAGCGAAGCGCTCGCCGGCCATGATCCTGCTCTTCCCCTGGGCCATCGACTACGCGGGGGCGATCCTCGTGCACGCGGCGGCCGAGGCCGCGCGGGGCGCCTGCGTCCCCGTCACGGTGCACCTGGACCACGCGCAGTCGCCGGCGATCATCCGCCGGGCGGCCGACATGGGCGGGTTCGACAGCATCATGATCGACATGTCGCACTACTCGAGGGCGGAGAACCTTTCGCTGACGCGCGAGCTGGTGGCGTACTGCCACGCGCGGGGCATCGCCACGGAGGCCGAGCCGGGCCGCATCGAGGGCGGCGAGGATGGGGTCTCCGACACGGCGGACCTGGAGGGCCTGCTGACGACCCCCGAGGAGAGTCTGGAGTTCGTGGACACGGGCATCGATTGGCTGGCCCCCGCGTTCGGCAACGTGCACGGCAGCTATGGGCCCCGTGGCGTCGTGCTGGAGTATGATCGCCTCCAGAGGATCCAGGAGACGGTGGAGCCCCACGGCACGCGGCTGGTGCTGCATGGCGCCGATCCGTTCACCGAGGAGATCTTCCGGAGGTGCATCGGTTGCGGGGTCAGTAAGGTGAATATCAATAAGGTGTTGAACAATGAGTATGTGCGCGTGCAGGCGGAGAAGGCTGGCAGTGCGCCCTTGACGGCGGTCATTGAGGAGGCTACCGCGGAGATGCAGAAGGCCGTCGAGCGGTGTATTGATATGCTGGGGTCCGCGGGGAGGTATCCTTGATTGGGGGGTGTATGGGTCTTACTATTGTGTATACAGGGTGGCGTTGACTCGGCTTATCATGGACAATCAGCTGCGGGTGAATATAATATATATTGGCAATGCAGGAGGCATCTCCTTGGGCCTTGACACGGTTAAACATAGACACCGTAATGCCTCAGTTGGCACACAATGAGATATCTTTTTTCTTTCAATGGTGAACCGGAGTCGACTAAGAGGCTTCAACACAAATATGTTGTTATAGAAGCTCAACATCGAGGCGGACGTTGTGACATATGAGATTGCGTCATTGCTCTCTTAGGCTGGCTGGTTTGGTTATCTTTCAAGCAAGAGCGTTAGTGGTGTAGCGGTTAGCATTGTTGCCTTCCAAGCAATAGATCGGGGTTCGACTCCCCGCTGACGCAGCATTTATTCTTCTTTTTGTTTTTCTGTGCCGGGCTCTCGCACAGCAGGATAAGGGGCTTATCAGTCCTGATGCTGGTAACTGGACTCCCACAAGCGCAAAAGAGGCAGGTTCGTATGTCTGTACCAGACCATGGAGTTGTTCCTTCATAGAAGGGGTTCAAATCATTCAACACGAACCTAACCCCTTCGCATAATAACCAAGGTCTACAGTCTTTGAATGGGGCTGTCCTGTCAATTGTGATGTCGGCAAAGCATCCGCTCCTCCCAAACAAAGGGCAATCGACATGTCAGACGACTCCGCAAGTTATGATACGAAGTCTCCGTCCAGATCTACATCGACCATCATTGGCAAAGTCTGCTCGTATGTTGTAATTAGCATCCGACGCATACACGCAAGGCTGACACACGCATGGCACCCAATAGCGAAGCATCTCGCTGCCGTCGTCAATTCCCCTGGTCAATGCAGCGCGGAGCCTCGTATTGCATCCAATGAACTTGTCGGTATCATAGGTCTGCCAATGGAAGCAAGTCTCGATGCCTTACACGACGTCTGATGGCTTGGACCAACAAGCCCAGCACTGCGCCCACTGTTTCGCGAAGATCATTCCAAGCTGCTGTTGGCTTACCACAAATGCTCTGCCTGGACCTCGCACCCAGCGTTGGACCAGAGTATAAGAATGGACAGAAGAACAACGGGAGCAGGCTCGTTCTCGAGCGATGTTTTTATAATACTCTCTAGCACATTTTCTATTGTCGAACTCGAGCGAGTCCAATCTGTTCTCAGTGGTGAAAGCATCAAAGTTCGAGCTCAATTATCCCCTTCAACATGGCCGAGAAAGCCACCCCTGGTATGTCCACCTAGCTCTTGGATTCAGCCCAGCTAACAGCTTCAGCTTCAGCTCCAGTTCCCACATACGAGAACTTGCAAGAGACCAACCAACCGAGCATCAACCATCCACCTCCGGCATATGCGCAGCCCCCGATGGAAACGATCACTCCTCCACCTCAGCCCCACGAGCCCTCGTCGCAGAACTTCTACGCGGGGACGCAGACACACCACACGAGCGGGTACAATAATGCGACACCCCTGCATGCGCTTCAACGTGGCCCAGCGCCCGTGGACTGTCCAAGTTGCGGCAGCCGTGAGATGACGCGAGTGGTAGCGGAGGCGGGCAATACTACACAGTAAGATGCCGTGGTGGAAGTAGCACAGGGGTATATACTAACCTTCCGCAGTGCATGGGCCGCAGTGACTTGCATCTGCTGCTGCTTGGGCTGCATTCCCTATCTGATGTCGTCGCTCAAGGATGTGCACCACTACTGTGGAAAATGTGGTGCATTGCTGGCGACCTGGCACAACAGCGGACGGACGGATGTGCATCAACACAACTGAGTGCGCTAAGATTGACGTTGGGGTGGTTTATGTTTGGGAATGATTATTGCTTGTTTTGGTGTGCCTGAATGTTGATATACCCCGAGAAATGCTCACAGAAGCGAGGCCATGTTGTTTCCGGCCTGCTTGCTTGTTCCCTGCGACGATTGTGCTGCCCTTTGTATAACTTATTGCCGTGACATGAAAACCAACTTCTTGCCGAAGAAAGATAATCGCTTCAAGGAACAGTTCGGTGACCTGCTGATCGAAGTAATGCCTTCACGATATGTGGCTCTGAGCCTCAGGCTGAGATCCCTCAGCGTCCAAGGATCCTGCAGCCCATGGCGTGCTGACGATGGGCGATCACTGGCTCCCCCATGGTCTGAGCGGTCTGCAACATCAAGCACTGCCATAATCTAAATTAACAGACTAGCGGCAACTTCGACAACAAACCCCCTTGTTGATTATAAATGCGTCATGCTCTCAAATTCCCATCCACTCACCGAGTGCCTTGTAAGGCTTAGATGATAGCTTCGAAGGGCATACCAAATCTCTCTCGAACGCAGCTTTTAAACTACTGAACGCACCCCAAGCAAACTAACATAGCATACCCAGCCACCGCCCACCATGACCGCACCCACCAAGATCAAAGCCGTCTTCTTCGACTTCATGGGCACCTGTCTCGACTGGCACAGCAGCGTCGTCCGGGCGATGCCGGCCTCCATCCCCGCGCCCGCCGCCTCGCAGCTCGCCCTCGACTGGCGCCGGCAATACTTCCTCGAGAACGAGCAGCGCGTGCGCGACCACCTAGCGCCCGAGGACATCGACCTGACCCTTCGCCGGGCGCTTGGTGTCGTTCTCGACCGCAGCAGCAGCAGCAGCAGCAGCCCCGAATACAAGGCCCACCTCGAAGAATTGTCAGACCCGTACACGACAACCCATTTAATCCAAGCCTGGCACCGCCAGCCCGCGTGGCCCGAGGTGTCGACGGCGATCCAGCGGCTCCGCGACGAACTCGGCCTCGAGGTCTTCGTGCACGCCAACGGCACCACGCGGCTTCAGCTGGACCTGACGCGCTCGTCCGGGTTGCGCTTCGATATGCTCTTCTCCAGCCAGTTGCTGGGGGTCTACAAGCCGCGGGCGGAGGCGTATCGACGGGGACTGGAGCTGGTGCAGCTGCGGCCTGAGGAGGTGGTGTTGGTCGCGGCGCATGCGTATGATTTGAGGGGCGCGCAGAAGGTGGGCATGCGGACGGTCTACGTGCATCGGTGGACGGATGATGTGGATGAGGATATGGAGATGGTGAAGGGCGAGTTTGATGCGTTTCTGGAGGGGATGGAGGGGTTGCCGGCTGCTGTTGCGGGGTTGTAGGTTGGGTGGGGGTGGGTTTATGGTCGGTCGGTCGGTCGGTCGGTCGGTCGGTCTCCCGTAGTTGCTTAGTCCTTTCTTCTTGTGCAATTGTGTTTATTGGTGTCGAGTTTTGGATTTCATCTATATTAAAGCCAATGCCTCTACTCAAAGACGATCTCAAGGCTGAGAGCTCAGATGAAATTGTTGGTCAACGCATCTCATGGTCTGCTGACTTGCGCATACTAGGATGTTGACTGATCGAAATGCGACCGTGGAGTGGATGACACACCCCCTCTCTACCTAGTAGCTAGTATGCTCAACCAACCCCATCCAATCACCAGATTAACGTCTTCATCGTTCACTCTTCACCACAGATGGGCACGAATCGGAAGCACAACGGGACAGGGAATGGAACCACGGAAATGCAGGAGTGGTGACGCCAACGGGATGAGCGGATCTTCCATACTCTCCACATCGCTTGATGTCAGCACTCGGGAATCGTCTCTTGAACTCATTCTAAGGTGTCTCAACACATCTCCAATATGATACAATGCAAATCTACAGCTCTCAAGAGTGAGACATCTCACCGAGACAGCAGGAGCGACAGCCGGGGCTACACTCGTCACGCACGCGAGGATTTTTGACACTACAGGCTGCCGTGCCCATTCGATCGAATGATACCTCCTCATCCATTACTACTACCCGGATCGGGGGAGTATATGACCCTTACACCTCCCCTCCCTGCTCCTGTCAGACCCAAAATAAGCTTCGTGGGTTATCCCCGGCTGCCAGACGCCAAACCCGTCCAACGTTGCATGCATGTGCTCTCCACCACGTCATTGCGATCTTGGAGTCATGACTTTCTTTCCGCTGCTCCCGATGGTGCGCAAGTCAAGTCTGCCAACGGGTCAGACTTCCTAGGTTCTTTTCTTGTCGCTCTCCATCCCTTCGCGAATTCTCACCTGCTCCTGCCCTGCCGTGCTGTGGTGATCTGTTGGAGAGCTGCGGTCTGTATCGTCTGTCTGTCGTGATCCCCGTTCCTATTTCCCCGTACGACGTGAGTATCTGCCTCAAAGGTATACACGAACATCAACCGAGTGCTAACCCTGACAGACAATGGCTGCCATCGACGCCCTCGTGTCCACCGCTGCACAACGACACCACCAGCTCATCAAGCGAAGCAATTGGGCCAGCAGAAACCCCGGTGTGGTTCTGGTCTTCTGTATCGTCTTCATTGTCGCCGTCGGAATCATCGCTCTGTTAATCTACCGCCGATGGATGAAACGGAAAGCAGAGAAGCAATCCTACGATGTCGCGTGAAGCCTCCTCGATCCGACCGTGGCGTCACCAATGGGTCTAAGCGATGGAGGACCGTGACAACAGTACCTTTCTTCCAAGGCCGTTCTTTCTACTATATTATTTCTCTAATTTCTATTACTGCTTGCTTTTGAGTTATCCACCAAGGATACCCGCTTTGTTGTGTTGGTGGTTAGTCAGGGGATAGGGGAGGCTGTGTCGTCGAGTGATGGATTCATGGAGGGGAGGGTTGAATGGAGGAGTGATTAGATGGGCGATGACGTGCAAGCGACTTTTCTTCTTCTATTTTATGTGGGCAGGAGAATGATCTAAAGTATACGGAGTACGTGTCAAGGAGATATATGATCTAACTAATGGATGAAACGTGATCAAACGCAAAGGGGGAAATAGGCTGTGAAATCGGCTGTGTCTGGAGTATAGCCACAATATCTGTAGAAGGAGCCGCAAGTAACTAGCCACTTCTTTCACCTCGTAAGGCACTGTTTGGACTGCGACGGCGGGATGAAAGTCTAAGCAGCAGCTACATGGAAAATCGGACAGGCCGATGATGAATCAGATGAAACTCAACTCTGCATGCGGTGCCAGATTGATTCGTGCCAGCACCAAATCTGGAACTCGTACTCGCTTGGGGCCCATTCTCTCCCACTGCATTCCCTCAGCCCAGCTCAGCCTTATTATCAGAATCCCCACCCTTGAACCAAACCATTTAAATATGAGCTTGAGCCTCAGCTCAACTCTGAGCAGTGGAGTGGAAGCATGGTCAAAATGTCGCTCACAACCTGGATTCTCGCTGTGTCGACAAGCACATTCGCCTACTTGTACCTGCTCCATCGATCTCTCAGAAATGGCCTGGAGCATGAGCACTTTCGAGGCAAGCTGTCTAACCTTTCGAACTCTCCTTCGACCCTCAACTCTATGACCACGATCCCGTCCGACATCTTCAAGTCTAATCACGACTGTCTGTACGAGAAGGTCACTCGTCGCGTTCCGCGCCAGCTTCTCCCCACGACCCTCCAACCCTCCGACCTCCTTAACATCCTCCTCCGCCGCAACATGTCTGCCTTCGCCTACTTCCCCCAAGCCTATATGCTCTGGATCCTCAGCGGCTCGGGATCCCGCGCAACCTTCAAGCCGTCCCGCATCCGCCGCCTGGACTTCCAGCGCGGTGACATCGTCTGCGGCATCTACCGCGTGGCCGAGCGTCGCCCGACCAGCGTCGAGTTCGAGATCTGCTCCCCTCACGGCGGGGAGGTCGAGGGCCGGCTGCTGCTGCGGTTCTGGGACGAAGCCAAGGAGGTGGTCTTCGCCAGTGAGTGTGTGCTGTGGATCACCAAGGCGGACGGAACGTCGCTGCAGGAGAAAATGCCTTTGAGGAATCCCGTCTGGCGGTTCTTTCATGAGCTGGCTTCCTGGTGGCTGCTGGACTCTGGAGTGCGATACCTGATCGACCTGTCAATGGATGAGGAGTGACGGACGGGGCGGGCGGGCTTGAGGAGGGACATTTTTTTTTTCTTTATGCTTCCCCTTTCACATACACCCACCCCATTGTGAACCTCAATCCCCCCCTTCCTTGTTCCCTCCTTGGAGAGCGCATAAAGAAGGGAGGCCTAGGTGGTTGATGGGGATCTTCAGAATGCCTTTCTTTGACAAAAAGATGCTCTGTGAAAGAGAGAATCGCATTGTCTTCCTGCTGCGACTTTCCACCACAACTCATGCGATATAAATAACGGGCGTATGCTCGCTGTGAAGCCGTGATGTTCATTTTTCTACAACTCCCAAGTCTGTTGGAAATTGCTGGAAAGTGAAATCTGACATCTTTGCGCATTTGTGACGATCTAACCTCACAGCTTCGATCCAACCTCACAGCTTCGACCTATACAACACACAACGCTCTCAAAATCATCTTGTGTCGACACAACAGTCAGTGCTAGTCACCATGTGTTTCCACAAGTATTCCCACTACCAGGTCTGCAAGCACATCGCATGCTGCAGCATTGACATCTGCCAGGAGATGGTCAATGGCTTGCGCGCTGGCGATTGCACCGGCCACGAATTCCAGAACTCATACGATCCCGTGAAGGGAGACCTCTGGGGGATGTGTGCGGAGTGCGTTGAGGCTGGCGCTGCTGATCAGCGACCCTCTGGCTCCTGCGCCATTCACCCCCAAGTGCAGGCTATCCCGCTTCTCAAGGAGTATGTGGATGAGTACGTGGCGCGCGCTTCGGCTGCCAACTCCTCCGGTCTCTCCACCGGCGTTCCATCCGTGGAAGCGATCAGTCTCGCGGAGACCGCATCCTCAAAGCCAGCAAGCAGCCAGAGATCCACCCAGTCGGGCTCTTTCCGAAGTTTCCACTCGGCGCGCACGTCTCTTAGCGAAGACAGCGACGACGGATACCACCCCGATGTCGAGCCGGGCTTCGACTGCTACAGCAGCAGCGAGAGTAGCAGCACCATGGACGAGGATGACGAGGACGATTGCATTGTCATATCGCAGCTGTCGGACGAGTCGCTGCTGGCCCAGCCGCCGCTCCTGCTCGACAGTTCCAGACCTACTACCAGTGGTTCCAGTAACTCGAGCTACCCAGGCTTCTTCAGCCAGACGAAGTCGTCGACTGAAGCCCTCTTCGAATCTGTCTTCCGGGGCGAGAACGAGCGGCTCGCCGATGACAAGCTCGAGGCGTTGAATCAATCCAATGTTGGGCGAGATTTTGTGAAAAGAAAGCTACCAGCCCTGGACCAGGCCAATCTGGGAGCACCTGCTATGGATCGGGTCCCTACTGTGACTCCGTCGCCGGGCTTCGGGGAAGACCTTTCGCGCCAGAAGGCGGCCTCTCCGGTTGACTTTTTCGCATCGGATGGATTCGCAGGGACCGGCTTCATCCCTCCCAAGGAGAGCCGGCTCTACCCTGCTGTGACTGGCCCCGGCTCCAGCTCTGGTATCACCGCCCCAGCTCCTACCCCAGTGCCGGCTAGTCCGCAGGGACAGAGCATTCCCACGGCACCCCGGGCCTTCTACAACAGACCCCAAGGGACGATGACGGGGCTCACCCCGGACTGGAACGGTAATCCTCAGCCTGGCTACCAGCATCCCAGCAGCGGAATCACCATCCAACCCACATTCGAGAACCCTGGAGGAGTGCCTTCACTCAAAATCACCGCCCGGCTCGAAGATTTTCCTCAGACAGGCTTCACGCCCTACTTCCCACCCGCCCCGGGGATGGTGATGCACGGCCAGGCCCCAAACCCTGGCCTGCTGCCGCCCACCTACCACCCCATCACCCCAACAGCACCTCGATACCCACAACCTCTGTACGGGAGCTTCCCTCCCCAACCCCAGGCACAGCCCCAGGCCCAGCCCCAGGCCGCGGGTTTCCGGCCCCAACAGCCCCCCCAAACCTTCACGGGGCCATCCTTCACCGGCTACCGCGAGAACAACAACCACGTCGCCCGCCACGAGCGGCGCCGGCCCGCCCGTCGCGGAGGGGGTGGCGGCAGAGCGTACCAAGCCCGACGCAACAACAGCCCCATGCGCGTTCGCCGCATCTACAACAGCAACCACCAGCAGCAGCAACAGCAGCCGCGATGGGCGCAGCCGGAGTCAGCCGCCACCACGGCGCATCACTGGCGCGTCCAGGAATCGATCCAGCAGCAGCAGCAGCATCACGCAATCATGCACCAGCTGCAAGAGCAAGAGTTCCAGAATATGCAGCAGCAGCAGCTCCAGAGGCTGCAGGAGCAGGAGCACTCCGCAGCGGCGTCCCAGAACAGCACGGGGCTAGAGCCAGGCCCCGTCTACCCCCCTGTCACTCCCCCCGTCGTGCAGACCACCAATCTCGAACGGGCCCCGTATAGCCCCCCTCCCGGGGAGACGATCAGCCCCTCCGCGCTGGCCGGGTACCCGATGGATGTGGACCAGAGGAAGCCCGCTGCCGCTTTCCCCGCGAAGGCAGATGGGAGTTACTCGCAGGATTACTGGAACGGGAAGTTCTTTACAAGGTCTTTGCTGTCGAAGAATTGAGCCCAACCCACTGCTCTACTCCACTGGGGCGGGGCTACCTGGCTGGGGCCTAGGGTTGATGAGTAAGTATGTGTGTGATGGTGATGTTGGATACACGCACGCACCTTTGACACCGATGATTGGTGACGTTTCCTTCTAAAGTTTTGAAGTTTTGATTATTCCGCTTTTCGAGAGATTGGGATTTTGTCTAGCTGTGTTAGCTATTATATTACATTGTATTTTCAGAATGTTAGAGTTTTTTTCTTTTTTCTTTTCTAACAAGCTTTTAAGAACGTGTTCTCTTGTAGAACTAGGCTTTTTATCTCAGATCTATGTAAGTGTACGACTGATACTGGGCCTATCTCTTCCAAAGTAATAACTGCCTGAGGCTCAAATTAAGCTGAGCTGGTCACAGGGTATGCAAATTAGGCGAATTGCAATAGATAGAGCTTACGGAATGGATTCTATACTTGTACCCACCGCTGGAAAGAAGTATTCAACAGGCATTAGTTCATTCATTCGTGCTTGTAATAATAACCATAATAACAATTAATGGCCAATAAACCCTTCATTCAAGACCAAATACCAGGTAAACACCCTAGACCATACTCCGCAATCGTGAAATCCAGTCAAATTCATAAAAAAAACCGAATATTGCATTTACCCAAGTACTGTTTGGTGGGAGAGGATCAGGGCCAGGCGGCGCGACACATAGGACAAGTCGGCTCCCGGTTCATCTGCGACGCCGACTTCTTCCATGTGAACAGGCAGCTGAAGTGGAAGTTCGTGCCACACTGCTGCTTGCAGTAGACGATAGAGAGGTCTCGAGCTGCCTGACGGGGGGTCGTGAAAGGAGAGTCGGGAAGGAGGGGCTCGTAGCAGATGGAGCAGTCACCTGTGATGGGTTGGCGGGTCGGAGTGTAAGGGGTGTTTGGAACGAATGGAGGAGGGGATAAGACGGTTGGTGTTGATGAGAATGTTGAGGAGGAAGAGTGGGGAGGTTGTAAGGCGACGGCAGAAGATGAGGTTTCAGGTTGAGATGTGGTTGTGGTTGGTTCGGGAGTGGCGTTTGCGGTTGGGTTTGCTGTTTGGATTGTGTCTGTAGGAGTAGCTGTGGGGGCATATGTAGGATCAGACGTAGAAGAGGCTTCAGAAGTCATCCTAGCGGTCGTTGTAGAGGCTAAAGCAGTAGGAACTGAGGTTGAAGAAGCAGTAATCGAGGCTGCTCTGGGACGCGCAGCAGCACTTGTAGGATCTGAAGCTGAGGCCTCTGGCTCAACATTGTTCACAGGATCTCTTGGAGACGAGGCGGAGGTTGTGGGGGCAGCAGTACTTGCGGAGCTGGAGTTCGATGGTGTGATAGTCCTGCTCAAGGTAACGCCTGTGATGGTGACAGTAGTGGTAGTGGAGGTGGTGTCCGAGCGTGAACGAACTGGCACGCGAGAAGAAGCCGCAGAGATAGAGGTGGTGGCACAACTTGGACTTGATCTGGCGCTTGTAGGCGAGGCGATGGAAGTTGAAGTGGACGTGGAAGTCGAGGTAGAAGTTGACATCGATGTAGTCACTGGAGCGCGAGAGCTAGAAGCTGGAGCGATAGTAGCACGAGGATTGACCATCGGGGCGGAAGTAGTAGGTGAAGAATTCGAAGTTGAAAGAGTCAGAGGTGATGGCCTTGAAGGCCTTGATGGGGAAGAGCTTGAAGGTGAGGATGGAGTAGAAGCACGAAGGGTCGGTGCAGGAGCAGTGAATGACCTAGGCTGTTCAGTGATTGACGCTGCATGCTGTGAAGAGGTTGTGGTGATAGCGCCAGACACTCCGGCCGATGACACCCTTGCCCTACGAGTATTACCCTGATTTGAGCCAGACGGCCGAGCCCGCCGATCGACCTCGAGCTTGCTGGATCTTGAAGCCTCCACATCAACTTGGAGAAGCAGGTTCCCATGCCAGCTAGGCTGAAGTCTTGAAGACAATGAGAATCTTTCCACTCTCCTCGATGTCTCCAGTTCATTTGTCTCTCCGCGAATGTCCACATGCTTCACCTCCCGTCCACCATAAATAGTTTCCACGTTATCTAGATTCTCAGTGACACCCAGGATTCGACCCTGCCACTTCTTGACAAGCCCAGGGACCTGACTCCGCTGACCTTTCTGATGAACATGACGACAGAGAACAAGCGACGCCAGATCTATCAGGAGGTCGCTGAGGTCTTCGCCCCTTTTCATTCTTCGACTGCCTTCATCAAGTAGATGCACGGCCGAAGTTCGGTTTGCGGCATTTATGGGGTTGTGACAGCGTCGACCTTGTGAGGGCGCATACCCCGCACACCGTCTCTCTGTATCGGGATGAAGATCCAGGATATCGGAAAGATGATCCGACGTTGCTGGATACCGAGACATCTCTAGTGGGGAATTGCTGTTTGGTGTTGCTGTTAGCGCTGGTGAGAGTTGAAATACCGACCCACGACACAACACAATGACGAGCTTATATATTCGTTGAATCCAGATTCAGCGAATTCTGGCACCCGGAGCACCCCCTCATCCTCCCCAAGGTTGTGTGGCTGTTCAGTGACGATGGGGCTGAGCGTGAACCACCCCTGCAGGTTTCTAGACAACGGGCCGCCAGGGGTGTCTCGCCTGATAGCTTGAAATGCTAGTCATGTAGCCGGAGGCTAAGAGTGACGGAGCCAGCGCCGGTGCTCCTGCCATGTCGACTAATGCATGTTGACTGCGGTGGCGATAACAAGTGCGTGGTCTCGAAATAGCACGCGAGATGAGGAGGGGTTGTGGCTGGTCCGATTTGTTCCTGGTTGGCTAAACTTGAGGCACATTAAGCCATTGTACTCGAGGCGGTGCCCAGTAGTAGATTAAACGATAAGTTAGAGAAGGTAGAGAAGATGTCGACACAAGGAGGGAGCACTCAGTCACGGGTCCATGGTCGGGTCCACGATGCTACTACTTACTTCCCAAAGAGGGAATCATGCATGCCTGAGTGCCAGTGCCAGGCAATGCCTGAGGTGTTGAAACTTGACTAAGCAGTCATCCCCCCCCCCCC